TTACTTCAAATGTAAAAAGTTTGTTCACAAACTGTTTGAATAAAGTTGAGGCATGGCTGCTGAATTTAAAAAAAAAAATGAGAAAAAATTATTTAATATATATTGTTAGCTTAAATAGTTTCGAAGCGACCAAATAATCACATATAATATGTGATCAATTTGAAAATAGATCGAAGCCATATTTTGGATCGGACTATATTTATTTTATGACATGAATTATTAGTATAATATTCATTAATTTAAAAGCTAAAGTGGTGATCAATAAAATGATATAATAAGGTTGAGTCAATTTTGTATTTGTAAACAAGAAAAAAAATTAAGAACTAATAAATACTTTTTTATTCAAAACTAATACTTACTCGATTATTTTGCGAAGACTAAATAGATAGCCAAATCTCTAATCAAATATGTAGATAATAATAAGTTAATATTGATACTATGCAAATAGCACATAAATTTAAATATGCATATATGAGTATCTACTAATAATAGTTCAATTTTTACAATTTTTTTTTATTTAAAGTTGTTTATTTCGTATAAGCTACCTTTAATGACTTCTCAAAATTTATCTTCTGTAATTTCAATAACTTCATATGATTCATCTTCAATAGCTTCGCATTATTCATCTGAAGCTGAAAGAGAAACTGAAAATGAAACACGTTCAAAACATCCTAGAGGAAGACTACTGGATCCTGTTTAGGAGCATTTTGCTGCAACTCTATTAAAATCACCCAGTCATTTTTCTGCAGTATGTAAATATTGCAATACTTAATTTAGCTATGGGTGTTCAAATGAACTTGAGATGCATCTTACAAAAGAATGTGAAGGTAAAAGCTTTGATGATGAAATAAGAAGCAAATATCTTGAAATTGCAGTTCAGAGACAACTATTAAAAGAAAAAACTAGTTTAAAAAATCAATCAAAAAAACAAAAAATAAGTATTAATAATTATTGGAAAAATGAAAATCAATTTTTGGCAAGTCCTAAGAAGGAAGCAATTGATCATACAATTATTAAAGCCTTTGCTATATGTGGACTTCTATTTTCTATAATTTAGAATCTATAGTTTATTGACATACTTAAATCTTTACGATCTTTGTATATACTACCTACTCATGAATATCTTTCTAATACATTATTAAATGAAGAAGTGATTAAATTAATTAGGAGACTAAGAAATTCTTAAAAACTGCAGATAACTTGACACTTGATAATTAGCTTTAATATACTTATACAATACTTTAACTTATATAATTATATAATTGTATTAAATTTATATTATTTTATTTAGGATTAGATAGTTAGACGAATCCTCAGGGTGCTTCAATTTATAATTTTTTAATAATGACCCCTAATTATAAGGAATTTTTATATGCCCTTCGTGATTTGTCTCATGTTAGTCATATGGCGAATTTACTCTTTAATGAGATTAAAAAAATTTTAATTAAGATTGGGTCTGAAAAATTTATTGGAGTAATTTCTGATAATACCTTAGCTATTGCTACTACACATAGGCAGATTAATCAAAAATATCCTTCTATTATCAATCTTCATTGTATTGTTTATTTTGTTAATCTTATTAGTTATAATATTTTAAAATGTAAATTACTAGCATGTATTTTAAAATATTGCAATAAGATATGCTGCTTTTTTAAAACTAGTCATTTAGCTGGAAGTTATCTAAAACGATATATAGATGAATTGAATATTAGCGGAGGTGAATTGAAGCTTTTTATAGAAACTAGATAGACATCTGTATATAAAACTATTAATTTTGTATTTAGACTTAAACTTGTATTAGAAAAGGTGATTTTTAATTTATTAATTAGCATAATTGATTTTACGAATATTGCAAAGTATAAATTTTTTTTGTTTTGCAGCATATATTTTTATATAATATACTATAGTGCTAATACTAATATTTTGAATAATTTTAAGATTTAAATGATTATTCTGATGCTATTACTAACTAAGATGTATAAATAATTTTAAAGTCTCGAGGATTCTTTCATGACATGGAACAAATATCCAAAATTTTTGCTCCAATTAGAGCTACAATTTTGCGATTAGTAAGAGCGAATTATATAATAGCAGATTGTTTTATTCAATTAGTTCATTTAATAGTGACTATTTCTCATATGCCAAAAGAAAGAAATATGATTGTATTTCAAAATCAATACATAGAAGTTGTTAACAATTATTAGAATGAACTTGAAGCAGAACTATATATTTTAGCATATATGCTGCATTCTGAATATTGAGGTATATATATATATTATTCTTTAATATTTTTAGTATATTTATATTTGTATGTTTAATAATTGAATTTTTTTTTATAGGTGCTAGTTTAAGAAAGGGAATGTATACACAAATTACCCTTTATGCTACACAATTATAGCAATCAATGGGATACAAAGATAAATTATCTGCACAAACTCTTATTGTTCAAATTATCAAATTTAAGGAAAAAGAATTTTTATACAATGTTGGATATGATAGCCAAGTGATGATACCTTTTATATAGTGGAGCTTTATTGAAGATAAGTTTGATAATCTTAAAATTTTAGCCAAAAAAATTTTTGCAATAACTTCACATAGCGTGTTATGTGAACGTATTTTTTCTATTTTGAGTTAGTTCTATGGTAAAAAAAGACAACGATTGAGGTTAAAAAATTTAGAATCACTTACTAAAATCTGATAATATAATTTATTTAATATGTGTAAAGAGCTATCATATAATGTGAAAAACAAAACTGAAGATGAATTAGTAGCATTGATTCAAAGGTCTTATCTGTTTGATGCTGAGGATGAAAATGATATAAGCAAAGACTATAAAGATGAAAATAATGAAGAATCAGATGATAATTTAGAGATTCTTAATCATCAAGTAGTAGTTCTTGTTATTAATAACGTTGTAGATTTGTATTATCAAGCATTTAATCAAGTAGGGGATTTGTATATCTCTAATGAAGACAATGTCAATTCTGATATCGCTATGAATAAAAATCATAAATTTAATTTAGAAGAATTAGTTCAAGATCTTGAATAATATATATGTAAAGTCATGACATATATTATATATATATATATATTAAATACGCAATTTAAAAATAAATAAATTATATATATTTTTTTTTTTCCTTAGACAGTCACGTCATAAACTTTATTAGGTTGTTAACCGTAGCCATAGCCAAGTTACATATGATTTTTCAATTGACCTAATTTCCTAAGCTTGACATCACCTAGCTGCTACTAGAG